ACTCTTGAGTGGCGTCGTGTTTTTATAATCATGGTGACTGGAATCCCATAGAAGAGGATAAGTTTCAATTGCTTGAATAAATTTTATAATTCTATCCAGTCCATTTTAAATTTCGTAAAAGAAGTGAGCGTACAAAAAAATGTTTTCAGTCCAGGAGCGGCAGCAATACTGAGTTCGCGAACAACAAGTATGTACCCGAAGACGCGAGTCCACTGCTTGCATGTGCGCGCGCACAAAGGTGACTGATGTTCGCGAACGTTTCCGAAATGTTTGCGTACCATTTGCTATTGTTTGCGTGAGTGAGTCGACCAGAAGAAACATTTGTGCTGTACACTGTGCATTACAGTGCCGCACAGTTCAGCACACTGGTGGAATCGCATCTTAACAATCAGTCTGAAATTTGTTGTGCCGTCGTGGCAGCACACGATGATAACATTAACTTCCCTCAGGAGCGCCCTCTGTCGTCAAACACGGCTACTTATTGAACCGTCCTCGTACAGATAAATAGAGAAACATCTGTGACAAATTCTCACAGATGACGCTACGGTATCTCACTTTATGTTGGGTCACATACTAGATACGCGAATATAGCACTAGGTTGGCTATCTTTAGGTTGAGTATGTTGATCAATGCTTACACTTATCCTCTGCTTGTCTCGGCGCAGAACTTCACAAGGCTCGCAAATTGGGCCCTTGCTAGGTACTCGTACGTTGCCAAGATTGTTGCGACAAAGTACCCACTTTTTAATCTAGAAATGTTGGCACTATTTTCTGAATCACTCTAGAATGTATGTATACAGGGTATTTCAGAATAACTTGGCAATATTTCTGAGGCTTAACTTAGACGAAAAAATAGCACAATCATTTATATAAACATACTGACGCCCAGGATGTTGAAATCGAAAAGAATGTACCTTCGAATTGGATTAAGACATCAACTTAAAATATTGCACATGTAGTAATGACATCATAACTAATACATACAAAAAATTTTGTGCCATAGACTATACCAGTAGCTTAGGATCTGGGAAATTTTGACCCAAACAGAAAAAAAATAGCGTCAAGTAGATTCACTCTATACTTCCCACGCCTTCGAAAAACTTCTAGTACAATTTTCCATGTAGTGCAATGACGTCGAAAAGGTGTAAGTTTTGTCAGAACCTTTAGTACACTATTTAGGCTTTTCATGAAAAAAAGTATTTTCAGATTACAGCAATGGTAAGTTCCATTTTTTTCGAGTTCTGGTGTAGAACTGTCAGTCAACAGTGTTTGATAACTGATTATAATAGCGCCTGATACGTACATATATACTATATTCTATGCTATATAATATTGCAATGCAAGTAACCTCATTAAATTACACTCCAAGCATAATGGTCGTATATATAGATGTCGCACCCACCTCGTATGTGCATATCGTGTCACTGGTCTATATCTGTTTTTATGAGCCCCTGGGATCCACTAGCGATATGTATGGGATGCGTCTGCTGAAAATACGTTTCTAAGTTTTAAGGGCAAATCTACGCTGAAATCTATGATGTGGTGAAATGTGTCTAATAGATGTGTAGGATTACCGAAGTTGGTAGTGTATTGGGACGGCAACATCAAGAAATTCCGAAATGTCAAAAAACTAAGTTTGAACAATTTTCATTTTTTCCGTTTTAGATTACAATACTCCCTCGCCAGTAGGCGTGGGAAGTAAAAAAAATATTTTGAACGCCAATGACTTTATTGCATTGCATTTTTTAATTAGGTACAAAATTTTAGATAAATTGCCTAACCTGAAATTGGTTTGTCAGACTAGTCCTTTTGGACGGTATGAGAAGCTCCAACCCGTTCGTTCTACTTTGAAAATACACTGATATAATGTTTGAAAATGAAAAATGTATGTATTATATTAGGAGATTAACAATAAATCATCATAGGGCTATTTGAACAATGATCATGTTTTGTCCTTATTTAGTCTCGTCAGTGACGTGAGATCAACATCTAAAATCTCCTGGTATTGGGACATTTTTGTATCTATGCTAATAACAACTTTTTTATTTATCTTTGCTTCTTGAAATATTGCCACGTTTTTCTAAAACGCCTTGCATAGCTTCTTACTAATCTAAAATGCTAAAGATGTTCATTTGGCTCAAGCGAAAATTTCACCGTAACACACCGCACATAAAATCCTGATACCTCAATTCAACGACACTCTTTTTCCCAAAGAGCACTCTCATCACATTTCTAACGAAATCGATTCCAAAGACGTGAGGTAGTGAACGAATTGCGCTAAAATGAAAGTGACAGCAGTGATTCGATGTAGTGGTGGTTGCGGCGCCAGGATACTCATCAGCAGGAGAAAGTCCTTCAGGCCCTACGGGGCGCCGTTCCGAGGATAACGACAGTCAAGAGACATCCAAGGATGTTCCCGGCGTGCATCAAGGGCCCAAGGTCCTCCTCGCAGCAGCAGGGGTCTGCAGCGGACGATATCAGCAGGCAGACCAAATCCATTGTACAGGTTAGTTTTGGATGATTTGCCATATGGACATAGACGTTATAGCGACTAGAGTAACATTTATTCCCATTAATTCCTAGTATTATCATAAATGAAAGAGGGGTTTGTTACTCAATCACACCAAAATAGCTGAGCGGATATGGATGAAATTTGGTATAGGAATTATCCGGGCAAATAATATCGAAACGACTTAATGAAAATTGACATGAGGTATCTGGCGCGCAAGCGCTCAGTCGCTGGTCCGACCGAAGGTAATAAGGGTATATAAATAGAGAATTTAACTTTGATTTGTCTGGTATTTTGCTCTGCTTAACATATGACACTGTGAATAGATACTTACTGAGTTGTTTGTCAAATAATCTTTAACGTTGCTGGGTGGGTAAGGTACATTTATCTGGTATCCAGCAAACTCTAATGATGTGTGGTTCGGTATCTTCTCTATATAAATATGGTTGTCTATTCAGTCTGTCAGAATCACGTCTGGACCACAATACGGATAGAACTAAAAACCTGAATGTTATAGGTATGGTTTTATCCGCAAAGTTACGTTTGCAATCAACTTTCGTGGCAAGTACCAAAGTCTCCATCCTCAGCGTCAAGCCGGCAACAGTGTGGTCAGCCATCGCCCCACTCTACCTGTGACCGTCAAGCGATACATACGTTTCATTTTATACCAGCTCTTACCCGCTTGAAACAGTTACTTATAGAAAACTCCCGTACGGGTATTACGTATCTTGGAAAGTGACATTATGTCGATTTCGTTTGACATTATATTGTTCTTTTTGTGACATTATGTTGGTTTTTCTTCAAGATGTTAACTAAGCACTACCTGACGGACACGTGTTGTATCTCGTTTTGTAGTTGTACGTGTTGCCTAAATGTCTTGATGCTTCAGTTACCAATGTTTGGCTCTGATGTGATGTATAATCTGCTTCAGAGATGGCATTATTGGAGGTCTAAGCTGTAAGTTGTATACTATAGCTAGAATGTAGTGAGGATTTGTGTGCTAATAATATGTGTTGATGATAATCCCATTGGCTTCTTGTCTCAATTACACTGACCTGAGATTCAAAGCTAGAAGTTGCCCATCCACTTTTTCTTATTCATTCTGGAAATTACATATTCAAATTTGCTGAATTTCAAAAATGAGAGAGGTAAGAAAAGAAAATCTCTGGTTGGTGAAAGAATAGGTGAGCAAATATGCTACAGACAGGAATATGTATGAAAGTGAAAGAGTTATTACATTATTTTTTATTCCCAGTCATTTGAATTTTATAGAAATTTATTTTGCGATGTCAATAGAAAATAAAAATCAGCACCTAGATGTGAGGCATTGCGAAAATGTTTGATGTGTGATGGTGTGATGCGTCATTGCTAATTTTTCTGGGATGTTGCTTAATTGCACACAACGAGGTCGCGGTGGCGATTCTCCGTAATGCCATTTATGACTTTGAACATAACCTGTCTATAGACAGGACACGATATAAGTAAGCCGTCGGGCACAGCTGATAGATATGTATATTTCATTGGCGGCATATTCAATAATAATTTTCTCACATAGTATCACTAATTTTATACACATGGCGACCAATACATATAATCATCCAGATGCGCTCTTGCTTTTCAATCAACTTTCTATCTTTCACATCATCTCAGAGATTAACACCAGACTACTCGGCTTCACAAAGCATACACTTGTTGTTGAGCCATTCCTCCATAGATGGGCGCTCACAGCGATCATAGCGAGCAAACGTGGAATCAACTATTTGCTCCCTAAAAACTATCTAGTGTGCAATATGACATTTTTTTGACGTTTTATAGGTTTTTACATAATAGCCGTGCAGATATTTAATGGCATAAGTGAATATACGGTGAACTTGCATGTTTGGAAAATTCGTTAATTCCTTAGTGGCCCACCTACATGTTCCGCGGACAGAACCGCGAGGTAGAAACCTAGTGGATGTTATAGCGACTATCGAATTAAATGATAACTCAAAGAAAAGTGCCTACTGGCTTGAAGGGAATGTTCCGCGTGTTACTATCATGCAGTATGATTGCATTCTTCTGCTTAATAATACTGACCGCTTCTCCTGTGCTACGTTAAAAGAATTGCTGGACAGAGTATAGACTTCTCCGAGTTTATTGTGCAAGTGGATCAAAAAAGCAGAGCGCCGTTGTAAACTACTCCTCAAGCATAACATCACCTAATCCGGAACAAATTGAGTCCCGTGGTAGGTGATGCCGAGGGCACAAAAAGACTGCAAAGCTTTTGTTAGAAACTTGTGCAACCGCATCCTATTCCTCAGACTTAGCGGTATTGGATTTCCATTTGTTCCACTCTATGTACGACAATTTTGGTGTTGAATGTTTTTAGTATTGCTGTAAATCAGAACCAGCAGAATGACGCTTGTTTTGGACAGCGACTGGATCCATTGAATTGTTGTAGTTGAAGATAACGTTCACATTTTCAAACATTTTCTTGCTATCATGAATGACGATTAAAACTGCTGAGCTCCAGCATTTTTCTTCAGCAGACTCAGGACCTCACCCTTTTTTGGTTTTACGCTGCTTGCCTTTTGAAATTTGGCGCCTTTTTTCAATTCAACCCATGTTTTAAGAGCTGAAGGAATGAGAATGTACATCATGTACCCAAAAAAAATATCGACTTTCCGCGCGTTTTCTTAAAAAATCGAGACTAATCTTGGCACCGGGATGGGAGGATGAGAACTATACCTTACGTGTAGGATGCATGTTGTTAAGTTCTCCTAAATGGTAAGTGGTGACTCTAGATATTTGGAAAAGGCGGTATATTCGTAGCTCTAAGTCAGGAAGAATTTTCAAATTAGTAACTTTCGCGCTCAATGAATAGATGTATGAAAAGCGAATCACTCACTTGAGGAAATGAAGTTGAGGTGTGTACTGCAAACGTTTTTATTTTAGCAGAAAATAGCACATCGTAGAATATTTAATCCAGTTTTTAAAAAAATTTTTTTTCAAAGATTCATTGAAGCGTTGGATTGAGTATGGAGGCTTACTTTCCTACTTCAATAATCTTCAGTTGAGTTGGCTCATAATCCCTCTAGATAGTCTTCAACGTCGCTGGCATTGACACTCATCCCGTCTCGGTATGCTCCGATACACTGACAGACAATAGATACATACACAAGGGCTTAAAGCATACACTTGTTTAATCAATGTTGCGGGATAAGTGCTGTTAACTGGATGTCGAGCCCCATAACCAGGAACAACGACAACAGCGCCCCTGCTTGTCGGATCAGGAGCTCGGTCACTAAATTACGAATTCCACACTGACTGCTAATTAGCCATGGCCGGATGCAACTTCCGAATCCTGGAATACAACTCCCAAATCCCATCGTGTTGCTGGTCCTCGACAAGAGTTTCAGGATTATTGGGTGCGATGAAGTTTGTAGTTGTCGCTTCGAACGTTGACTAACCGCTGAATCGTGGTTACCTATGTTGTTTGAAAGTTCGTATTTTGTTAGCGTTGATGAATAGAGGCATCAGTATCGGTTTTAGTTATACACGTACTTCTTGTATTATGTAGTCGAATTATAACGTACGTATTGTCACGAATGGCCTCTTCTTGTAGCAATTGAAGTACTTCTCGACTTTATCAAAAACCCCCAAAAAATACTCATTTAACCACAATCTAAAACTCCACACTTCCTTATATACTCTAGTAGCAAGTGAAGGTAACTTTCTAGAAAGTTGAAGAAATCTACAAACTTTGCGAAGCATATTGACAATTTTAGATACAAACAAAACTGAGAACTAACTGAATACAGCATTGTTTGTCTTTTATTTAATAGTTTCATAATTTTATTTTATTAATTGTCCCCTTTACCGACTTGTGCATTCATTGCGATTTTATTTTGTTTGTCTCCTATTTGTTACAGTGTGCTATTATTCTTTATTGCATCTTTTCTTGACTTATGCAAACATCTTCATGTATTTAGCATCAATAAACTATTTCTATATCTACTTCTATAACCTTCTGCTTGACAACGTAGCTAACCTACAATTTGACAACATATCATGACCAACCCTATTTCAGGAATATCCATTACGTTTTGACGTCTACTGAGGTGAACAGCTGATCAGCAAGTGACATCTTTGTATTAGACAAGAAAAAGTATGAATAATGTCCAGCAAACCAATCATATCGCTGTGATCAGTTCTAGTACGTGTCCTACAGTAACAAAGTACCGATGTATCCAAAAGTCCCCATTCTTAAAACCTCTTAAAGTAGTCGTAGCCTCTGTTTCGAGTGTTACACTACTTGAGCTTTATTAGTTTAGTCTGCACCAAGCCAACTCTGAGACAGAACATAGTATTGATAAGATCGATACGTCCATTCAGCTTCAAAACTTTTAAAGAAACAACTCTTGTACGTATCTGGAGTTGAAGGGAGTGGGATTGGAAAAGTTCTGCAGGATATAAATAAACAGAGCTTATTTTCTATTTGTATCTATTACTCGTAGTTCACCTGGAATATTAGTTTTCTGATAACTAAACAGCTAAAAAGAAGAGAAAATTGGAAACAAGCTGAACTTCAGATGCAGTATTTTGTAGCAGCTTACGTAAGTGGCGCCCAAACTTACATTGTAATAGGATAAGCTAAAGACTACAAAATATTGAAGATTACAGTTTCACGTATCGATTGATTTTGTCTTTGTTGTCGGCAAAATGACAAAATGGGCTGTTGGAGAGTATAGGATGCTTTAAAAAAAATCGAAATCTGGTTATAGAGATTTGTAACAAATTAAAAAAGTGCTGTTTGATGATCTGAAAGATTTTACCTCGCAGTTGCTAAATCATTTCGATTATATTATGTCAATTTATTTCAGACTCTATATTTTAGAAGCACATTCACCATATTATCTAAAAATGAATGATTATAGCCCAGACATTTTATTCAAACTCCTTTTTTAGGAGCAAACACTATACAAAGGTGTAGACAGGAACACGTCATATTATGTATAACATACAAAATTTTTAAAAAAGAAAGGCGAAATAAAAGTCAAACTGAAAACAGAAAAACGTAAATGCGAATACCAAGTAATGGACCTCCTCTCCTGGCAATTATATTATTTCAGGTGCCTAAAAAGACAAGGCACTCATCTACAATACATAAAGTGTATGTAAGAGCAGACTCCTAAGGTGGTTTTTAAAGAGCATAACTATTTGTTTAATCGATTCTGGTAAATAATTGTATATTTATGACAGCACCTGTTAGCAGTTTTGTCAAGTTTACCCGCGGCAAAACTTGACAGCCGTTGTCACTAAAAATTAAAATACCTTTGATAGCAAGTAATATTATGGTCTCCTAGGATATCAGAAAACGACGCTAAACATTTTTTCTGATTTTATTATCAATAAATTTTTTAAACTACGCGTAGGCAGAATAATCTGTTACTGATGAAATATTCTTGTCAAATACCATTCGGGCATCTATTTTTTCCTGTGAAAGAAATCGAAAAAACAATGCAAAGTAATATTTAAAAAATAGTGTAAAAATCCTCGTCTTCGACTCGGATTTCAGTTGCCACCAGCACTTACGCTTCGTGTTAAAATATTACTTAGCAACGTATGTTTAGATTTTTTTCGGAAAAGCTAGATGCCCCTCATGATAGTACTTAAGAGTCTGGTTAGTAGTCTCAGCAAATAAATTGAGGGTAAACGGCCAAAGGTGATATTTCTTGAAATTGTCCCTACAGGACGCTCTGAACGAAAATTGAACATGTTTCTAATGATTCTTTTTTGCGAGATGAAGACTGTGTCGATAGTTGAGGCCTGCACTCAGACAACAATATTATATGACAAGGGCTAGAAATACAAAAGCATAGTAGACACTATAGTTAAGGTTTCACGACTTACACATTTTTTTATGATTAAAGCAGTATTTAGATTTTTGCGAACACTGTCGTGTTTTGCAGCTAGGGGGCAATCCAACACTTATCCCAAAAACATTTGTAGACATAGAGAGCTGATAGTTTTATTTTGCAAAATATACCGTGGCTTGGTTATTTTAGTCTGAAGTGGTACGAAGACCTGAGCCTGAAGTTACATTGGCTATAAAACCTAGACTTTTTGAGGATTTATTGTTTAATAGCCTAATGAATAATTTTAATTTTTGAGATGTTTTTGAATAGTGACTCAATTCTGTACTTTCCAAACCAAAAATCCACCAATTGTGAATGTTTGGATCCCACAAATCGATGCGGGAATATGAGTGCGTCCAAGTGAGTGGAAAAATACAGGAACCTGTTTTCCCGAAAGACAAAGTTTCATGCAGAGTTTTCTAACATTTTCTTCTTTTCCATCTTTCACGCCAACGTGAAAGGACAGTAATAGAATAAATCGCAACAAACCAGACAGTGAATTTTTCCGACGGGATCACAGTCACTGCGAAGTCCCGCGTGGTGATAGTGAAGGATGCACGTACGCTGAGGTGGAAAAAGATCGTTACCAAGAAGTAATGCAGTTGTCATGAATGCGTGCTTGCATGTTGAAAACATGTTCATTGCTGTCACCAAGGTCTACCTACAAGACAAGGGCTGTAAATGCTCACTGACTCATTAACCGCATCATCTGGGTAAGAAACCAGCATAAGGGGTATTGGCATTTAGTGACTGAATGCAAGCATGTGAAAGAATTTATCTCGGGACCATGTCCATATACGGCTGCTCAACTGTTCTCAACGAGTTGGAATCAACTCCGTGTAGTTACAGTCCTTCTAACAGGACATAATGGCCTTAGAGAATACCTGCGCAAAATAGGGCTATATGATGCCGACCTCAATTGCAGACAATGTGGAAAAGGAACAGAACCAGCCCTACCTGCTTTATGTGAGTGCGAGACGCTGGATCACAATAGACATCCACTCTTCGCGAAACCAAAACTACGAGTAGAACCAACTGGTACATAACAAAGGACTGCTGGATTGGCTGTAAGTTCGAGAAGCAAGGTATAATTAGTCCGAAATTTTGCGAGGATTTAGGAATCAAAGTCCTAATAGATGATTCTGTCTCACTTTTATCAACTAAACCGTATTCTTATTGGAAGGACTTATTTTTAATGATGGTAGTATTTTTGTAGCTCGAGGGAAACTCGACGTATTTCATAAAACTCAAGCTATTTTCCATATTAAAACCAGGGGCGGATCCAGGAGAGTGTGTAGGGGGTTCGGATCCCCCTGAAATATCCGAGTATCAGAAAAAATTCTGACGTGTTTTTCAGTTTGCGTTTTTCAATTTTGTATCACCGAGCCGCCCCCCGGCTCATCAATTGGAATCCCCCGAATCTGATATCTTCATGAACATGAATCCTGGCATCCTACCCTCCCCAGCAATTTTTTGTTTCAAATGCGGGATATGGACTCCAACATTTTTTTCTAGATTCGCCACTGATTTAAGCATTCGTGAAAGCAGAAACTGATGTACCAAGGTACCGAGACCGCTACACGTCGTTGAACTTAGAGGACGTTCCTTTAATCAATTTACTTGGATCTGAAGTCGTCTTGTTTGAGCTAGCCATATTTACACTGGTGCAATCCGATTTGATTCTCACCAGCTCCTGCACCCTGCACCATAGTCGTAA